TTTTTTTTTTTTTTTTTGCTGTTTTACTTTTTTACGACATTTTGTAAATTGAATCTAAGACATTTTTTGCTCTGATTTTATTTTCGCCGATAAACAAGAGTATTTTTTCAAAATCAGTATGCGATTAGTACACTAACTAGGCATTTTCCCACTCATTTGGATTGGGTTTCGCCTAATGGGCATTAAAACAGCGTTGTAGCAAGCGGCTACAAACTCTGCTACGTGGAAGGAAACCGTGAAACACAATGCGGTTAAGGCATTTTAAAGTGCTCGTAATATACCGAACTGAACGCACTATACTTACTGCTTTTTCTACACGTGTAAGAACTGGTGTCCGGAATAACTCTTCAGACCTGATATGAAAACAGCTGGTTATGAACGCTCTTTAATGTAATGTCACCTCCTAATTAGCCTAATAACAGTATTTTCAAAACTGCTTCTGTTTCAGAAAAAGTAAAATAGGTTTCTTAATTTCAAAATAGTTGACCAAAAAATGCATATAGTAAATTCTAAAATTTCTACTTTCTGTCTTTGCCTCTTCCAGCTTTCATTTGGGGCTGACGTCGAAGCCTCCACCGGGTGGGTCGGTCGCTGAGACCAAAGCACTTTCTTTAAACCTGCAGCGAAAACGCTGGTTAAGATTCTTTGGGCTAACACAACGTCTCTAGACGTTTCAGTGCTTTATCAGGCCGAAGCTTGATCGGTTTTTCGCTTACTCTAATAGAGCATCAGTTTTTTGCATGAGGCCTATCTATACAGGTTACCAGTTTAGCCTCTTGTACACTTATCTACCAACTTTCAGATATAGTAGTGGTCGTTAGACAGCTGAAGAAAAACGCTACCTTACAAAATCTGAAACAAATGATTTTCGTTTCTTTGGCTGAAATTCCAAGTTAAAACTAATAAACTGTTGATTTTTTTAGAGACTGAATTGCAGAATAGAATAAATAATATAATATGACCAGTAAAGGTGTAATTTAAGTACAAAAACAAGTACCTTATTGTTAAGGTACAGCAGCATAAATACAACCGTGATTGATTTGAAGCAATTTTCCGAGCACAACAAGTATAACAATGACAGTAATTCATTTCTTCACTATTGACAAAAAAATTCAACTTTTTTATTTGAAGCTTACGCTGCTTACAAAAATTATAGGTAAAAATAGGTAGCACATTTTTTAGACCGTCTAAAGCAAAATTTATTATGTTACAAACTAAACAAGTCGAGAGTACAAAAAAAACAGTTAACAATTGCTCTAGGTCTAAGAAAAAACAAGACTCTGTAGTATGAACCAATAATTCATAAACAACACCCTTTATTCTTTGACAACATAGTTGTCATACATTAGCACGTTTTTTCGGTTAACAAACCAGCATTAGCATATCAAAAAATGAACAATAAACAGGTGCACAGTAAAAGTGCAAAAGTTCTATTTAAAAGCTTTAACCGAAATCAGTATTTCAGCTATATGCTTATAAAACTGTAAATGACTTGATTCTTACTTGTATAGTTTACTTTTACCATCTATAATTCTATTAGACGTGATTTTCTTTAAAAATTGTAAGCAATCTTCAAATCAATTTTTAAGTGATATTAAAAAATTGAAAAAGCAGCATCTTACAAGTTTTTGTAATAGAACACATATAACAGTTTGAAACACGTTAAAAGAAAATAGAAATGTTGTGGCTATTAGTAACTAGTGACTAATATCTTCCGTCAAAGTTACTGCAAAATTTCTGAAGTTACACGTATGAAGAAAATAATAAACATTTTTGTCTAGTTTTATTGTCAGTAATTTTTGAATGAAAACTGAACACTGAATTATTTTTGCAGATTATAATTGTACTTTTTCAATTATTTCAACTCTAATCCTCATTTAAAACGGTATCTTTAACGGTAATAACGGTATCTTTCGATAGCCAAAGATATGAATGGCAAGCGTTTATTATTCACTTATGTTGATACAATATTATAAAACGTTTTGTTACTGAAGTAACACAGATTTTTGTGAAGGTCCTTTTCAATGGAATTTGCGAAAAAAATTCCGACGTACAATTACAGCACAAGTGTAACACAAAATTTAATTGACAGTTTAACCAATTTTATTTGATGTTATGTTGAATAAATGAAAGCTTCCATTTTTGTAATTACTTCTATTTGTATGGTATTTGCATAATACATCTCGAAAAAAGTTGTCTTTTTTTCCATGATTGATACCAAACTATACGTAACAAAGAATGCTTAAGTAATCACATATCATGCAAAAATAGATAATAATTTATCATCTTTTATCTGTGTGCTGCTTCGTGATTATTTGAACAACTGAACAACACTTGCAGTTGTATTTTGCCAAGGTACTGATAACACAAATATAAAACTGTTTTCTAAACACATTTTTTTTGTTCATTTAACACTCACATTGAATTTTATTTCAAATCAACTTGCGGTTTAAATAAGAATATTTTTTTTCTGCTAATAAAGCCATAATAAAACGAAAACTTCAGGTGTAAAAAAGTCTTTTTTCTTGAAAAATTTTTTACAGTTTTCGGTATTGATATTTTGACAAATCACTGAACTGCTGTAGTATAATTGTTGACATCAGATTTAAGATCAAATTTTGTTACCATTGTCAAAAAACCGTTGATTAAGAGCATCGAAATTGCTTTATCAATCGTGCAGTCAAAATTTTTCAAGGTTTTTACAAGTTTTATACCTTAGCAACTTCTATCTTTTCGACTATCACTTTGTCAATTTTTTTTTTTTTTTTT